AGAGCCCGCGAGGAGGCAGAGGGGTCCCCGAGTTCCTCCCCATCTGGCTGCTTGCCGCCCCCCTGTTAGCAGCCGTTGGTTAGGAAGGAGGCTTTGGGGTGGGGAGGGTGTTGCGTTCGGCTCAAATCTCATACGGGCCGGTCGTCCGTATGCGTCGCTTTGGTCTTCGGTGGGCCCACCTGGACGTAGCACGGGCAGCGGGAGAAGTTTCCCTCTCGCAGTTCTCTCCGCGTGTTGGCGGCAGCTGTTCCCACTGTTCCCGCCGAGGTAACAGCTCGTCACCCCTGTAGCTTGTTTCTCTCCCCGCCCGTACTGGGTCACCCCGTTAACCTCACCAGGAAAGGTTTGCAGCTGGTGCCAGACGTGGCAACGGCAATTTGTTTGTTGCCCTTGTTTAAATGAGGGCTTTTTCCACTGTGAATTTGCTAAATGAGGTCCTTTTCAGTTTGGATGCCCAGGTGCAGACACCCTGGGAGGGGAGCAGTGGGCCTTGACCTAGCATTGTCTGGCCTCTCGTGCCCAACAGGGCTTTGGGAGCCAACGCGGCGCTGCCGTTACCAGGGCTGGAGATGAGCTGCAGCAGTGAGGCAGGTGAAGGCATGGCCCCGCTGTGTCGGTAACCCGATGTTACCCGGAGGGCTTCGGGGTTGTTTGTAACATTGGAGCTGCCTCTTGGCATCCCGCAGCAGCACTCGGCGAAGCTGTCCCAGGGTGAATGTGAACCCAGTGCCTGGAAGTGCATGTTCCACTCCTCGTTTCTCGAAACTGTTGCTTCTCCTTTCCTGGCGGTGATGTGCAGGACCAGTGAGTCTGCACAAATTAACTCTTCAATGCTATTTAGCATCTTTTTTAGCATAGTAGCTAATACCTTTGATGTGTGTGGAAGCTAGAGAGCTGTGCATTCTTACAGCTTTTCTTGGACATTATAAAGCAATCGACAGGTTCCTGTCTCCTTGGTTCCTGTGAACCTTCTGGTTCAAGGCTTGGTGGTGATGTCACTCTTGCACAAGTACTATTTTTATCAGGGAATAAGCAGTTTGCTTGTTCCTTAGACCACATCAGCTTGGCTTAGATTTGTTAGGGATTCCCATGTTCCTCCTTGTCTGCCATCCTGCCTCCTTATGTATGTTATAGGCTCCAGTACTCCTTTTCCTGTAGGTTTGGATCTCTACTTTGCCCAGGACCTCTTTTAGCCCTGCCCCGCCCCTTTCTTCCTACTTGTGCTGATGGTTCTTGGGGCTCTCCTTTTCCTGGTTACCTTGGTCCTCTCTGTCTCACCCCCCCCTCCCCCCGTTTCTCTTTATTCTTTCAGGGTACCAACGTTTTAAAACTCACCAAGGAGATCAGGGGAAGTTTTACAGAAATTTGGGATGTTGATGGAAGATATCAAATAGTTACTTTAGTGTCTGTAAAGATCAGTTCTTTAACTTGTCCGTAGACAACTGCAGACCTGACTACACTGTGCTCACTATCTTCCTCTTTCTGATTTTCCTTTTTGGAAGCAGGCACTGTCTGTTGGGAGCTGGAGCGCTCCCTGAGACGCTGGAACCAGCACTGATTCAAGCAGAGCTCACAGGACCTCTGGTTGGGGGGGCGGTGGCAGGAGGCAGCAGAGGAGTCACAGGCAGCTGGTGCGTGCAGGGAGGGAAGAGGATGGTGACCCGCACAAAGGCCAGAGGGAGGAGCTGCTGCAGGTGGTGAGAGGCTGGCACAGCCACCAGGACGTGTAGATGGAGGGATTTGGTGATCTCCTCGTGTCTCTCGCAAGCAGTGCTGTTCTGAAAGGGTTACCTCAGTTTTCTGAGCTTAGAGCATGTGAAACACGGAGGCACGACCAGAGGAAAAAATATTTCAGAAGCCAAGAAAATAACAAATGGAGGAATCAAGCCTAATCTTGTGTTGTGGGAGAGTGAGGGGGGCAAGGATGCTGGGGGGAGAGGGAATAGGAAAATGTAGTGAAGGGGAAGGAGGAAGAGAACGAGAGGTGATGTGATAGAAATGAGCAGAGGTGGAACAAGGAAAGAGGCTCACAGTGAATTTATTGAATTTCCATTTGAATGCTATCCTGGAAGAAACCCCCAGTTCCTGTGAAGTCATGAAGACTGGGACTTTAGGGTCCCTCCTGGGGGGACTTGGCTGCTGCCGAGCAGCATTACTGTTGAGATATATTTTAGAATATACCATGCCACAGCAGGTGCGTGCAATTAGAGGAGAGCTCTCCAAAATAGCAGGCGGCTGTCAATTTTTTAGCAAATGGTGTTGCCATTTTTTTTTCTTTGTCCAACTGTGTAGAAATTTATTCTAAGATGCATCGTCTTAGATGCATCACAGAAACATTTCCAAAAGACCTGTTATTTTTACCCTTCTGTTGCTTTTTGTGACCAGACGAGGAGCAGAAGGCTATTCCAATGGCCGCTCTGGGTGAGCTTTGTTTCACTGGGGGAAGTTAATGAACTATACCAAACAAGCAAGTTTCAGGAAACCTTTCTCTTTGAAAGCAGAGTGCAAATTTCCTCCTGGCTGGAATTTAATCGTATTACAATGATTGCTACCTTTGAAAAGTGTTACCGTTGTTATCATTTACCTTTTTATAGTGTTTCACAAATGTATCACACCTCAGAACGCTCCTATATGATAAGTTTGCATTTACATCCTCATTTTCTTGAAGAGGAAAGTGAGTCATAGTGAGCTTCATAATTCAACCAAACCACGCAGTCGTTGTGTGGCTGATACATTGATAAGGTATGCGACCAACTATCATGATTAGATTTTTGTTCCACGGCATGGATTGAAATTAAATAGCGTTTGAAAAATACCCACCGAAGAAACAATTCAGCCTGATGAGTTTCAGTGTTTTATTGTTTCTCGGATTCGGCAAACGCCTTCTCCGTGAACAAAGGGCTATAGCTGTTCTGTTGTAAATCAGAGATTTGCTGTAAAATGACTGCGCGGTAGAGACACAAATAGAATTTGGGCACCCCTTAGGAAGGTGGGTTTTTTTCCCCCTGAATGGTAGGGGTCAGAAAATGGACTTATATTGCCTTGGCTTCTCTGGTTCCTTCCCAAGTGCTTTTTGCTCAGCAAGGGGAGTGGGCTGGAAATGTTCTCCTGCAGCGCTACGCAACACAGGCTGCAGCTGTGCTGGGAACCTGGCAGCGATGCTGGCTGCCAGAGGAGGGTGGCATAACCAGGCTGGCGTGACTGCCCAAAGTGAGGCATGAGCAGCTCATGCCAAGCATGACGTCTCCCTGTCCCGGTCTTGTGGGGCATGTGCCTGTTCTGGGGCAGCTCCGTGAACTGCATGGAGTGCACGGAATATG